TAGACCTCAAACCCCCCAAAAGCTAAACCCTAAACCCCCAATATATACCCTATCCTAATGTAGTAGTTTCCATTTTCTTTTCCACTATCCTTGAATCCTGAACCCTAAACCCCAAGCAGGTGTGGTTCCGGTCCGGGCCTAGACCTGGTCTCTGGGACAAAGCCAGGTCCGTGGAGGAGTTCGACGTGTTCCTGTTGCTGGCCTTCAATTAATTCCATTGCTTCAGCTGGCTATCGTTGAAGTGAAGCTTGTGCTGCTTCGACGGGCACTCTCTGCAAGTGTCCCCGCAATTTCTACAGGGCTCGGCATGGTTCTCAGGTTCAGGGCATAGGATTGGATGGATGGGGTTTGACATTTGGACAAGCGAAAACCCGGCAGATCTTCTCAAGACCAGCCGCGCTCATTAGGGCCTGCACCGATCCTGGAATACCAGACCTGGGGCATGCGGTGGCATCTGTTACAGGTTCAATATGTCATTGTTGTGTCTTGGGGAGGTCACAGGTGTACTGGGAGCGTGTATTGTTCTTTTCTGTTCTATGTATCCTTTGGCTCTACTCTAAACCCTAACTGTCAAGATTGGAGTTTTTGACCTATAACATTTGGAGTTTCATCAGAGGCGGAGCCTTGCGAAACAGAGGGATGTCAAAGAGTATGTGGGGTACCTCTGATGGATCGCGTAGAGCTGATTCTCAGAGACTGCCAAATGATCCACGTTAGAGACAGCCCCACCGCGTTGAGGCCCCTGCATGTCGCAGGTAGAGCTCCCCTCAGGCCTGGGTCGATTCCTGAGATTGTAAGTTGAAGTTAAGACGTGGAATTGCTCGCAGTCCCTCCGGACAACGCCTTGAAAGGTTTCAGGGCTAAGGCGCCCAAATCTCGAGCTTCCAAATTCTGCTACGTAAGCCCAAGCTTCATTCTTAGCGGATTTCTCCTCAACGGCCCTCGAAAGTGTTATGCGGCAGTAAGGGGGTTATTGGTCTCAAGTCTAAGGTCCCACACATGGCTGACTTATGGCTTGTGGAAAATCCTTTCCCTTGCCCTACGGTCTGGATTGCTCTTCGTTTTCTGCTGCTGGCTTCTGGCTGTCAGCTTGGCGGCCGGACTCTGGATGTGTTTGGGCTTCATTCAGAGGGGTTGGGATACTTCTCCCAGTGGTGTGGTGCTACCAGCAGCTGCAATACCAATGAAGATCGTTACTGATGACAGGTATGTCAGCAGGTCAGCAGCAATACCTTGTTTTGGAGTTTGAAGCGCGAAAGATGTGAGATGTTCCCATCACTTCCGCACGCCAACGCTGATTCCGTCTTCAGGTTGGATGTCCTGCCGCTGCCAGGCATTCGCACTGCTGATGGTCCCGGCGGCTTGGTCTTGAATTGGACTCTGTTGGTGGTAGTTTCCATTGTCTTTTCCATTCCTCTATATATACCCCTATATGAATAATCCCTATAAAGCATATATATATATATATACGTGTGTATACATACCGCTATAGAATCCCAGGAGGGGAGCTACAGCTACACAGCTTGTCATGCCTGCATTCAAACCATGGCCGCTTCATAGACCTTGCCAAGTGACCCATCCATTTAAATTAGACTGCAGGTTCTTTACCACACTGCATGGCATCGGAGCAGTTTTGAAACGCATTGCAATTTGGATGGCAGTTCCTGATGTCCCAAAAGCCTGTCGAATCTTTGTGGGTAGCACTGGGATTTCCATGCTGAAGCACTCGAAAGCTGGAGACAAGATGATGTCCTTTGTTCGAGCTTGATAAACTTGCATCAACAAAATCTGAGGTCGTAGGACTCCTAACCATGGGCTCCTATTATGGGCGCCTACGAACTTGTTTCCTGGGTCCTAACAAATTCTGGGCCTTTAAATGGGCTTGAAGGGCTTCATGGGATATATAGTAGGTAAGGTAAATCATGAGGACCCGACGATTAAGGGCCCATAGTTCCAATCTTAGATAAACGACTATAAGTGCTTGCAACACTGCATCCCCGTTGTGGGTAGTGGGCAGCAATAGTGCCCAAGACAAGTCTCTCGATGGTCAGGCCTTCATGTCAGACTTGGGAAAGATGGTGAGGCAACTTCGGATGTTGATGTGTAGTCCTTGTAGCAGGAACGTATCCCAAACACGCATCCGCAACAAGCTGATCATTGCCCGGCTGCACTGACCTGATTGCTGAGCGCATCAGCTCCAGGAACTAAAGCCCCAGAATCGTGAAAGGCCGAACACTGCAAGCAATGAACCCGACTATTGATAGCACCCACTACACGAGACCGAATCAGCAGATTGTAGAAACTGTTCAACAGCGAGCTTTCCACGCAGTTTGCCAAGACAGCTTTGCGAAGCCCATCATGCTCATAACGCCGCAGCGTTGAAACTACACATGCCTCAAGAATCCCGCAGCCGTGTGATAGAAATCGTAGGCTTAGCCCAGGTGGCTTTGCAGCGGAGTGCCCCACTGGACCTTGGGTGCTTGTGGCCGGACTCGTCGGATACTTGGCCATCATCCTGTAGGGATTCACTAACTCATTCAGATTCATCCTTCTTGTAGGCCCCATTGGCCAGGGTTGCTGATCACCAGTTGGATGTCTGCTGAGGGTTTGCCTCAAGGGAAGTTTCAGGAGGATACATATGACTTGGTGCCCTTCAAGGTGGCCTACGTAGACCTCGCACAGCCCCCAGCCTTGTATGAGCCTGACATGGGGATACCAACTTGGTAATCAGCCACCTGGGCGTGTGATTGATTTCTGAGGTTTTGCCGTTTGGGCTCCAGGGACGAGTACTGTAAGTACCCCAGGCGGTAACCCAACATTTCCGAGACCCATGTGCAAATGGGGAGTTTCTTAATACCTGCCGCAAGTCCCATTTAAGCAAGCAACAGAATGAAATCCTGATTTCCGGGCGCTTGCTTGCTCAGCTCTGCGCTGTACTAATTACAAAGCCTTAAGTTCGCTGCTTCGCTAACCAAGATGAAGGTAAGCTTTCTGGGCTGTTCCTCCACTCTGAACGGATACAAGCCTCTTTCCACAAAGGATGCCTCCTCGGCCTGATTTTCTCACCCCTTGCATGCGGCAAGCGGGAGATGTGCTTCATCGACTCTCGGAAGGAATTGGTTGCTTTCGAGGCTTCCTGAAACGAGCGGGGTGTTGTTTTTCGCAGGCTTGCGGTGTTGAGGACGGAGATAAGGGTTGAACAAGGAGGTATCCAAGCACACCCTCGCAAATATGCCAGAGTTGCAGTTTTGCAACAGTGGCATCATGAAGAAGCCACTTCGATATCATATTCATTCTTTGTCGAGTGTGTGTGCTAAGGGATGCAGGGCAATGCCTGTGATGTGTTCTCAAAGCAGATTCAAGACAGGTTTAGATGCGATCCAGGGTGCACGCAGACCCCTCAGTGCCGGGTTGTTACCACGCTTGAGAACGAAACACCCCGTCATCCTAACAGGGGCTATTGACTGTTCCCGCTGTGGACTGAGCAGATGTGACATAATGTGACTGCTGCAGAGATCGGCGGGCTGGAAAAGCCCCGAACGGAAAGCACCCGGTTTTCTTCTTCTGGTTTTTCTCCAGCAAGACACAAGGACAAGGTCAGCATCCACCAGGAGGATCACGAGCTGAAGGAGCTCAGCGGTGGGTCCAAGGGGAATGGGATGTGGGGCTTCGGGGGTTCAGAGTGGTCCATCTGTGGCGCAAGCTTGGCATCTGAGCTCCGCGGGTCGCAAGCAATCCAACCCCCCAGAACTCCAGCTTGATATCAGAGATTCGCAGTGCAGCAGGAGCGTGGGATCTACGGCATCGGAGGCTTTTTGAAGCGCTGCTGGATCAGCTTTGTATGTCAGCTTGGGGTTCAGAAGTTGTACCAGGGTCTAGAGACTTGTGTAACACCCATGAAGCTCCATGACCTATGGTCAGAACCCCAACACTCAGGCTCTCGGGAGCTGCGGGTGTTGTGGAGTTCGCCTTACCTCTCAAGGCAAAGCAGCCTGATGCGGGGATGTCTCTGTATAGGGGGTCACGGTGATCGGGTTCCTTGCGATGGGATGTGCGGAGGGATCCTTATACGTAGACACATCCACAAAGTTTGTACCAGGGCTTTTTAATATTCGCTGGGCCCCCCAGATGCTTGGAACATAGTGAAAGACAACAGGATTGATGCCAACATCCTAGCCATGTGCGATCAGGGCCCAGGACACAGAGCGTGTCTCCGGCATGACTCGCGTTAGACCTCAAAATTCCTCATTTGCGCTGCATATCCCTATCTGAGCCCTCGACCTCCTAACCTGAGCACGCAACCCTGAAACTGCAACCGAGCACACTGCCCAACCGCAACCTTTTGCCATGTGCAGGCTGTGGTGTGTCTTCGAGTTAGCGGCATACCGCAAGGCAAATCCAACCGGGAAGATTACGTTCGCCCCGCTGTCTTTCGATTCGAATTATTGTCTAAGTTGAGATTTCCAAATGGTAGGGGAGAATGAAACCCATCATAGTTTCAAGCCCACCCCAAGGTACATAGAGTCATCAACGTGCGCTTACCTCTTTGTAAGCTACATCATGGGCCTTGGCTGGCACGCCATCTCCACTCTACTGGAGCGGAGGCCTACTATGGTTGAGGTGAAGTTTTCACAAACAGGGGTGCCCCCTCATAATGTTAGCTTCGCATTAATACCCCCCCCCCCCTCGATTGATCTATCTCCGTCCCGGGGGACCCCCGGAATGATAATGCCAGACATGTACGTTGGAAAGCCTATTTAGAATTATTAAAGTCTAATGAAAATCGTTGCCCCGACAAAATTTGCGCTTTTGGGGGATTCTATAAATGTGGAGTGATTTATGTGTTCGGGCGCTGGGATTTTGTGAATGTGGGGGGAATTCTCAATGTGAGGCTAACATTATGCTTGAAACTTTAAAACTTCAAACTTTTTGGAGCCCCCCAGGTTCTCGTGGTATTTGTGCCAGGCATTGCCTTGTTTCATGCGCTCCGCAAGAACAACATGGATCGGGTCAAGCTGTTCTCAGACATGGAGCACTTCGACATAAATGATGCGAAATGCACGGATGAGTTTGATAGGGAGTTCGTGCTCACGGCAATCAACGAGTGGTACGGCAACAGCGAGGCATTCGTGGAATATGTGAGGGGCCCGATGCGCATGGAGATGTCCAAGATGGTTCTTCAAGCTAGCACGCCCCTGGGTTGCGTAGAAGAATCTTTGAATCTTTCCACCGTTCCAAAGCAACCATACCTGCACAACCTGCACACTGCTGTGATGGCAAAACAAGTCAGCCTAGGCCCTGGAGTCACTGCTTGTTGATCACCACTGCATGTGTCTGCCAGACGTTGACTGCTTTGCTATCACTTTGGAAGTGTGGCTCCCCCGTGGACGTTTGTCTGAGCTACCTGCTTTCGACCGTGATAGGTCAAAGTTTTTTCTTCTACATGCTAACGATCAAGCTGTCACTGCATCTAGATCAGATTTAGAAGATTTTCCTTGAGACAGAGACGTGCAGCCCCAAAAAGACAACGAGCTTCCATCTCGAGATGTCCTTAACCGCGACATAGGCATCTCTGCGACCGGTTCGCAGCCCCACTTCGGTCCGGTTTCTGCAACATCCTCCAGAGCTGCCTGATTTTCTCCTGCTGGCTTGTGGCGGTTACTGCGGGAGACATCCTCTCCAGGCTTGCGTACAAAGCTGGGATTGCAGCCTCCATGGCATTTCTAGGGGCTACGGTGCTCACTCTTTGGCTGCCAGCTTGGCTGGTGCTTCCTTGAGGCTGGGCGCTGCATTTCGGAAACGGCAAAGCCTCAACACACGAGTTCTCTTTACTTGGCGTTGTGCATGTGGGATCTTGCAGCTTTTTAGGTGTGGAATCTTGAAATCCAAGGCCCCACATATTCTGAACACTTTCGAGCTTGCACTCTAAGTACTCTAATGATTTGGCAACAAGACAAGCGGTGTGATCTGCAGGCTTCGGGGTATCTGCCTGGACGTGAGTGCCCCATGATCGACTCACGCCATGCTAAGGCTGTGGCTTCCAAATCCGGCGTTCCGGATGAGGCAGGGTATTTCAGCCCAATGCGCCTGTACAGCCACCGAATAAGGTGTTTCCAATTCCGGTTACGCTCATTTGCTGCGATTTTCAGTTGCCTCCCGTCTCGCCGGACTGTAGAGCTCGGTAGGAGTGGGGGCAAGCATAGCAGGCCTTGAGGACGCTCCTAGTCTTAGAATTCCTGATGCAATTTTTGCCCATGCCGTGGCTGTTGCTTCCGAACAGGGAGCTCGCCATTAAACCTCTTGAGGTTCCTTTTTCTTTGAAAAATTCACGGGGAGATATGTTGTATGTCCGAGTACCTGGAGACGCTCAAACCAGTGTCCGATTTCATGGAGCGGGGAATAACCTGTTCTGCATGACGTGCTGTGAAGTTGGCATTTGCACGGAGGCTGTGCCTTGACGAAGCTCCCACATTTCCCACAGCAAGACTAAGAGGGTCCCGATAGATCCCAGTTTGTCGAAAGACCCCCCGTGCACTTTGATAATGTCACCAAGTGAGGCGTGGGGTGGCGAGCAAGGAGTGTGAGAGCAAGCGCCCAATAATTACAAGAAGGTAGACCCCTTCTGCAGAAATCAGCTCGTCCCCCCACCACCATGGACCTCATCCATGATGAGAGTCTTGCTCCCGAGCATGGATGTACGCAGTTTGTTGCTCTGTCGATGCTGTCGATGCTCAGTCGGCTGGCATCCAGAGCCCCGCACCTGCCCTGAGTATTTTCGAAGGTGACCTCATGAAGAGAAGCTGACCCTCAGGGGCTGGGTTGTATTGTAGAAGAGCCCTACCCATATGAGCAACCGCTTTGATTACCGCGTAGGCGCCAAGAGCAGGCAGAGATAAGATCCAGGGACATAAGCAAGACCCTAGTAAAGCGTTTGGCCCCCCCAAAAGACGAAACGGATGACAGCAGTGTGCAAAAAGCCTGTAAAGCGATAGCCCCCCAAATCGATCTTTTACTTAGCTGTTTACTTTTAATTGACGTAGCTGCTCATATGGGGCCTATAGGGCTCTTAGGCAACTCGAAATCTCTCGGCGGCGCTGTCAAGCCTGGGGGAAATCCCAGAACAGCGCTCATGCAAACCCAAAATTGCCAGGTTGAAACAATGGTGCGAGAAGCAAGGCTTAGGAAAGGCTTGGTCCTTCATCAGTGTTACGGGTCTAGGGATTCAAGTGCGGGGTTTGGCTTTACAAAGCCGAAACGCCGCAAATCCAGGCTGCTGTAGCATGGGGCGGCTATAGCCATTTTTCACAATATTGTACAGGAGTTCAGGGCGCTCGCAGCGGGAACATCAGCGAGGTTTCCCTTCAAGTTGTCCCCCTACCACATCCGGGCTTAATGCGCCCCGCCCCAACGCCCGGGAAATCATGTGGCAAAGCCAGGCTTGTGAGGTTTTAATGACGCTAGCCCGAACTCGATGAGGGTCAGTTCTAGCTTGGTTCCCCCACCCTTCAGAAACGATTCAAAAACTCCTGCTGTCACTGAGAAGGAATTCAGAAGGTTCTAAAGTTTTCAGCCTCTTGGATTTTGGTTTGTAGCATGCACGGCGACGAATCCTAAATCCTATAAGCGCATAGCCCCTTGAAGCGGAGCCCTAGACGCAACTCTGGTACCGGTGCAATCTGGCTCCAGCCCCCGGTCAAGCCCTGCAGGGGCGAGGGGAACTTTTAATCAATCAGTTGTGACAAATTCAGCGGAGGCAGTGATACATTTCACTTGGCACATTCTTGCCAGGTTTCGAGGTAAGAAGCTCACAGTTCGGGAATGATCTGCGCGTGCTGCGTGGAGGATGAGCATGGCCAGCTTGCAGATGTCGACCAGGTGGCTCGGGTATCCAAGGGTTGCTTACTCTGTCGTGAAGCTTTCAGGGTTCAGGTCGTGAGTTTGCGGTATAAGGAGTCAATCCTAAAAAGGCCGGAACCACACCCCAGAAATCCCGATCCCAAACCCCGCACTGGATGAGTTGCGAGAGTTGCAGGCACGGCGCTGCAAGCTGTCACTTTGTATCGTACTATATCCTACTATCTGTAAGCCTTGGCCCCGAGTGTTTGACCTTGGTTCTACAGGGAGTCTGTGAAGATGATGCTAGTAGACATCGTTAGACACGTCTGCTGGGTAAGCCGGAGTTCGGAGCTAGCGTCCCAGTGACGGGTCTGAAGTCCTTCTTGGATGAAAGTAGCGCTAGAATGAAGCTACAGGTGTCTCGCAGGAACCGTTGCACAAGTTTGGAAACCGGGTTGAGAGAAGCAATCCGCGTGCTCTCATTGGTGCATGACCTCAAAGGGCCTCAAGGGGACTCAAGGGGATGGCAGTGTTGATGGGGAGAAGATGGGAGAAGGATTCCAACATAGACTTTGTTTTTTTTTTTTTTTTT